GACTGAGACTCCTCAGCACTTCCACCAGCCTATAAGATACGCAGATCACTGTCCATGCACAGAGGGGCACTTCAGTTCATTCATGGGACTGGTAGAAACTGGAGGAGGAGGAGCTCTGAGCAGGCTTGGCATCTACTGGGCAAATGGGGAGGCTGTAGTGTGCCCTTTTTTCCTTGTCCTGGAGGCACTCCAAGTATCTTGATGCAGACCCAAGGCCTCCTTGTACTTCCAAGGCATTTACAACACAAGATGTGGCTAGCAGAGGTCATATGGTATAATGGAAGGTCTGATCACAGTGATCAGCTATTGAAATATTTCAATATGTATCTGAGTGAAACTCCTGCAAGCAGCCATACCTTTCAAACTGTACAAAAAACAGGAGTGAAGTACTGCACGTTTACTATGTTATTGCCTATCGCTTCTAACTTTAAACCATAACATTCTCAAGCCGGGACAGTGACAGCTCCTCATAGGGGTACACAGATAAGCACGATGCTCTAAGAATGAACATCTGAAATAAGCAGCAACAGATAGATCTCCCTCGTCACCACCATCACTCACGTGCCCAACTCAAAAAGACTTAAAAGCTTCCTGAATGTATTTATCTGTATGCTAAGAAGCAAGCAAGAGAAAAATCTGTAATTGTCTATTAGATATGTTTCTGGGAACAGCAACATCTCTTTTGTAAACAGTGCACATCTCTAGTAACAAAATGTGCACTAACACCACTGCCCTCATGCTTCAGGGGCTTCCCAACCCATAGCTTTTGTCTATTTAGATTAAATTTTGCAAGCAACCCTTGTTTGTAAACCACTGTGCACACTTCGGGCACAGTGAGTAATGACTTTGATAATAATGCCCTGGAAGACAACCTGAAAGTAAAAGCTCAGAATGGAATATCCATCTCTACCTTATATAGAGTGGCCACCGAGATCCTGCAGCAGCTACACCCTCCCTGAGGAATTCTAACTATTCAGAAGACAGACCACCTGCAAAGTGCTTCATTGTTTTTTTTAACCCCAATGAAAATTCAGGGCGACCTGTGGGCAAACGAGCACTTAGGAACGGTTTCTCTCTGAATCCGATAGCCAGAGTGAGATTCAACAGCTAAACACCCCATCCACTGCAGAGACATCTCTAAAGAGAGACTCCCATGAGGATGAGTGGATAAAGCATTGACCTTTCAACCCTGGAACTCTACCAGGTGCTTACTGTAACTGCCAGAATATGCAGATGGAGGGGGGGCAGGAGGGGAGAAGAGAAGCAGAAGGATAAGAAGTGGGTAGAGATGAAAAATGATGCATTTTGTAACTGCCTTTCATTACAAGGGACATGATAAATCTCAGCCCCAAATGTATCTGCAGCGCACACAAACCCGGCAGTATTCACAAGCAAACAGCAAAAAGAAAGCCAGAGAAAGTGTTAGATATCTGTCCCACGTTTTAAACTGCACTGCTATAGTCTTTAGTTTGAATCTTTATCGCACAAAATGTAGCACATTAGCCTTGGAACCATCTGAAATCCTAATCCTGTCCACACAGAATTAAAAATAAATAAATAAATAAATCTATTTGACCACTTGTCAGTGGAGGGTAAGCAGATTTTCTTGGAAAGTGTGGAGTCCTAAGTCAATTTCTGCTAAATTTAAGCACCCACTTAAATAAAGTTTCTACAGAAAGACAACTTCAGAACCTATTCTGCTGCTCAGAGCTTTCCCCAATGCAGAGTGAAATAAGACCAGTCAGTTCACTTTTGCCATTCAGAATCCTATCAAGAATGTTGCAACTTTACACTGCTCCACGGGATAGCTATGAAGTACAATGGAGGCATGCACCAGACAACTACTCAAAAAGTGAGGTTGCAATACAACACTACCCCTCAGCATGGTCACAGAGGTGTGTTGCTGTCCCCACTAGTAGACAGCATTAAGATATGGACACAGTTGTGACAAAGCCGTACTAGGAGCTTTCCCCCCCACCCTGAACTTTCTTGAAAGAAGAGAGTCAGAGACTACAGCACTCTGCATCCTTTATCACAACTGTTATCTTTTTTAAACCACAGAACTCATTTCAGATGGCCAGCTCACCACATTCCCTCACCTCTGCCCCCCATTTCTGATCACCCACCACTCTCATTCAAACACACGCAATATCCCTCTGGCAAACGTAATTGTTTATACAGAAAAGCGATATCAGCGACATATTTTTAGCTTTAGTATGATATTTTCAGCCAGGAACAAGGAAGAGAAACTAGCATCAAGTAAGCGGCACAGGCCATCAGAAGCCTGATGTTTTATCTACTGTTGATCAGAGGGTAAGCCATCCACCTTAAAGCCATACCATGGAATAAAGTCACTCTGAAGGCAACAGAACTTGTGTCCCTATGTTGCTAGAGCAGGAAGTTTAATTATGCCCAGACACAAACAGATTTTCCTTCCAGTAATCCTATTGATAACAATTCAGACATAAGCATCAGCAAGAAGGGGACACAACCATGCCTATTCAGACACTCCTGAAATCTAAAGGAAAGCCTGACAAATGGAAACCTGGGCAAGACCCCATGTGGCCATTGCCCCTGGGACTGAATCTCAGTGGTGGCTGGGGACATCTGGAAGCAGAAACAGGTGAAGATAGCCTCATGCAAAGGCATATTTAGAGTGGACAGATGCCTCTCCTAAAGAATATCAGCCAATAACTCAGTAGGTTCAAGCCAAAGCACTAGCTAGCCAACAGACACAATTTAAGATGTCCAAGGTACATATCAAATAGGACTTTATCACTTTCCTCTCCAGCCATACCTAGAGAAGATACAGAATCCACGGACACAGCCTGTGCACGCTATTCAAGAAAGGAGGGAAGTGACAGAAAGTTTAAATCCTCAGAGAGATGCACACGCGTCAGCAGCTACCAGCTTGAAGTGTGATCAGAAGGCTAGCCTGACTGAGGATAAACAAAGCTAACAGGCCTGGAGAGGTGCCAATCTGCACGATGGAAATTATGTGCCAGGCGAAAAAGTCAGCTAATCCACAGGAAGCCTGTAAACAACTCTGCACAAGAGCTGCCGGAACTCTCAGCTACCAGAGGCTTCCTACCAGTAAAGGCCTTTTAAAGTTTGGCATTGGGATATTAAGCACAAGATTAGAGACATGCTGAGCTACAGAGCGAGAGGAGAAAGGGCGAGTCAGTCAATTAAACCTGGAATTTGTTGTTTTAGCGCACAGCCCCACCCTGGAACAAGAAGAAAGGGAATGGCAGTTTCCTTGACTGTAGTTTCTCACAGTGTAGCCTAGTTCAGCACAGTAGCTTAATCAAGTATTGTAGCCAGTCAAGGGCACAAGGCAGTAAGGGAAGCACGACATCAGTTAGACTCAGCGATTTGATGCATGTCACAGGACGGGAGAGTTTGGCATCTTTTGCTGGCATGGTCTGATTAGACTCTTCACTAGGAAATCAAGCTAGTGCACAGCACTACATCCTGCCCTTATTCAGACTTGCGCAGCCCCACTGAAGGCCATGCAGGCTGCGCAGGTGTCACTAAGGGCAGGATTTGACTGTCTCCATCAGCCCATTATGAAGAGTCCATGTGGTTCACATCCTATCCTCAAGTCCATCTGCTACGACACCACTTGAGAGCTGCCCCACACCTTGTGTAGTAGCCTGAAAGGTCACATAGCAAAAAGCACTTAGACAAGTGTAAACAAACCTGTATTCAAAGTTAGTTTATTCCAACGGAGCCCTACAGGCATCAGTTAGGGAAGTCTTCGCTTTGTGATGGTGCTCTGGTCTGTCATGCACATCTGAGTTTGACAAGTTGGCAGGGGCTGGGGGAGAGGAAGCCGGAGTGCTTAACCCCCAGGTTGTTTTTGAGCGTGGACAAGAGACGACTAGAGTTCTGTGACGTTTATTGTCCCGTACTCTTTGACTGGTCATTGTCAAATACCCTAGCACTGGAGAGCCAGGGTTCAGTGGTATAAAGTATTAGTTTCCAGTATTTGCAAACTGGGAGATTATTTAGATTAACGTCTCTTATGATCTGCCAGACCTAGAAACATTTTGCCAGCCCAATGTGGTTTTTAGACACCAGTAACCAGAATGTAGGATCTTTACTTTAAAAACACAGGACAGTAAACACTTCTCCTGACACATATCACTCACCTCCCAAACTCCCCTTTCCCTGGGCACAGACAAAATAAGCAAGGGTGAAAGGATAAAGCCAAATGAAAGCCAAAACCTTAAGAGACTGATCAACAGCTGTTATACAACTGCTACTCATAGTGGAGTTAGCAGAAGCTGCATGTGTTCAGAATCAGGACCCCTTAAAAAAGGCAACTAATGTAACAAGAATTGGATAAATTGCTCACGGAACAGATTACATGCATGAAATCCTGCTGCCAAGAGCAGAGGATTTCAAAGGCCTCTTCACTCTCTGCTGCTAGCAATGTGGTCAGAGGAGATTATGGTAAGTTGTAGATCTAAATAGCTTGACAGGGAGAAAGTATGTTTGGGGAACTCAAAACCTTCCTGAAACATCAGCACCTCTCCCCGCCAATCCTCAATAGCTCCCTGAAGCCATACACATATGGCAAAGAGAACCACGGTTACTCAAACTGCCTCAACCTAGTTCAGTGGGCACTATCTTGGGATGTAGCTGAAGAGAAATATGCAGCATCTCACCTATCTGCTATCACCACTAAATCAGAGCTTTCATTTTTATTTTAATCTTTATTTGTGTGTTGTGTAAGCAGCACTTCTCCAGATTGTTTCAAACGGCTATTAAAATTGCAATCTAGTTTCAAAGTGCTATGCCAGCATTAGAATATAGTAGTGAGCAGGAGCACGTGATCATTCTGTAAGATTTTCCTGAGTAAGCATAAAGGTGGCAGTAAAATACTGCAGCCAGTTTAAACCCTGTAAGTGTTAATACTCAGCATACAGGCTAACACATTGGTGGATGAACACAGGGAAAAAGTAATGTCTAAAAACAGGCTAGATTTAACGTACCGGAAGCAAGAGCTGTGCCACGCTTCATTAACAGTCCTGTACAGTCGTTGACCAGCTGGAATGCTGTCCCCACAGCCCAGACATCTCCAGACCTCTTCACCTACACACGAAAAGCAGAGGGTTATTAGAATGGCTACCAAACAGCATAAGCTCTCTTCATGCTATCAGGCAAGAATTCCCAAAACCTCTGTTAGGACAATCCTTGAGTTACATGTTCAATGTCAACTCCTCCAGGGCTAGAAAAGTAAAAGCCAGTGCTACTATCGGACACCCAACTCTAGAAAATGGGGGGCATTTCCAACTGGAACCTTAAAACACTTGTGCACATTTTTGTCCAAAGACCTGTATGCCTCACTACAATGGCCATCAGTGTCATTGTGCTCTGCAGTATAAATCAAGCAGTCACACTTGGTTGCCTTTCTCCCATGCACAAAAATTACAAGGACAAACTAGTTCAGTATTTCAGCTATTACTCAGAAGCATTATATGCTAGGCTAGCATAGAAGCCAAGCTAGCATTTGCCCCATGCTAATGACTCAGAAGATTTACAGCTACTCATTTAATTAACTGGATTTCCTAGGAAAGAGAGAAGGCGATAAGGGAGAATAAAAAGAGGTTTGTTTAAAAGAGGATAACCTTGACTGCCAGTCAGCTCACTCGTTACCATAAAGACAAAATGGTTGAGGTAATATCTTATTGGACCAATCTCTGTTGGTGAAAGACAAATTTTCGAGCTACACAGAGCTCTTCTTCAGGAACAGACATTGGTCTCTTTCACCAACAGAAGTTGGTCCAATAAAAGATATTACCTCACCAACCCTGTGTCTCTAATATCCTGGGACCAACAGAGGTACATCATTACTACAAGCATTTATGCGGCCTAAAGACAATTCCAACTGAAAGCGGCAGCTGGGTTTTGGAAAAGATGAACAAATCCTATAGGCTTACTGACCCTTCAGAAGCAGCTAGAGACTGGCAGAAGGATTTTAAGGCCTCCACTAGAATAGACATGATGATATGACAAGTTCCCGAGTTTACAAGCTTGGACAACAAAAGGATTTTAAGGATGGGGGAAGAGTGTGCTTGGCGTACAAGGACAGACTACTTCAAGTGAGAGGGCAGCATGGCAGAGTCATGAAGCTAGGACTAAAGGAAACTAAGGAGGAGTTGGTGGGGGAGGCTCTGAGGCCAGACTATATGATCATGATGGTCCCTTCTGGCCTGAAAGTCTATCCATCTATGAGGCACAAAGAGAGGACTGGGAAGTGAGAGCAAAGTTTAGGTGGTGTCAAGAGTGTGGAAAGACATGTCACATAGCGGGGCAGTTGTCAAAATGCACCTTTTTTCTACTCAAAGTTTTGTTCAATTGAGGTTGCATGGAAATGATATGATAAAAGAAGGAACTCAACACTCATTAACCAAGCATTCATCTAAAAGGCCAGACTTCCAATTTATGAGCAGCCAGTTTTCAGAGAACAGGAAAACCTGACAGAAGCTCAGTCAACCCACCACCACCTCCCCGAGCCACATGTAACAAGAGTTGGCTCCTGTTCAGGGTCACCTGCTAGCACTGAGTGTCTGCAGCAAATTAGAACTGGGCAGGGTACAGCACTGACATATGCAATGGCTTCCTGGGGAGCAAAAGCCATTTCCAAATGTCTTTCCAGTTACCACCCTCTGTGCATTCATAAAGAGTGCCAAGGGAGCCAGAGTTTCTGCTCAGTGTGTTAATTTTTCTGAGGCTCTCATGAACTGCAGGTTCCTTGTTTGCTCAAGATGCAGAAGCAAACATTACACTCAGGAACCCGCAGGCCCAGATTCTGCATTAATCACCCCTGATGAACTCAGAGGGCTAGAAACTAGGATGCACATCCATCTATTTACAGGTTTTGTTTTCCAAATCTTCAGGATACTGCATTTGAGACACAGATCCTGGGCATAAGAACACAAACACCACAGGGTTTCTACTGTTCACTAGAAAGTTTGGAAAGAAAGAAATTTAATGCCTGAAATCCAGCCTTCACATGCTTAGGTAACCAGACCAAGCAGAACAGAGCTCCTACGTTACTTTTCTCCTCAGGTATGATCAACTCCAGCAGACACACTCCATTGTCCAATGCTGAGAGGAAAACACACTGGTGTGTTTCAGGATTCACAACTGAAGTCTCTTTTCAAAACAACCCCAGATATCACAAGAAGCCAGGTTTATTGCCTCATCTTGTCATTTCTTTGCCTGGTTCTCCAGCATCAAGATTTGGGATGGAGATGAAGTTGCTAGATCAAACTCAATCTCCACAACAACCCATGCACATTGAGAAACACTTGTCTAGAACAAGAATGCAAAAAGGGACGACTATATTTAGCCATTAAATAGCTCTTCAGAGTTTGAAAGCACTGTATGACCGGCTAGCCAACTCCTGTATGATGGAGAAACTGAGGCACAAAGACAGGAAATCACTTGCACAAGGCCATAGAGCAAAGCAGTGCAGAACTGAGAGGAGAACCCACAGTTCCTGGCTATTTCCTAACATTCTGTCTACAGAACTATGCTGCACCACACAAAATGCTGAAGGAAATCACTTTAAAAGAGTTACATTAACCCAGATGCCATGAGACTAGGGCCTAAACTGACATTTTGAATGATAGCATCACTCAATGAGCCCAGATGCCACAACAAGCAGCACGCTTTACATCACTGAATAAACTGCTTCAGGGTCAAGCCTTTGGTGATCCTCTTGCCCAGCTGCAATTAAGCTAAGGGCTCCCTTGTCATTAAATGCTTGTGATGAGTGGGCCTGCTGTAACTATTCCCTCTCAGCACCATTAGATGGTTCATGTCAGTGAAATTTTAAAAAGACAATCCAAACACTATAGCAGTGATTGGGAGTTTGCATTTTCAGTGTCCCAGCTTTCCTTTATGCTTTGAAGAACTAGTCTCTATTACCTTGCTGCCACACTGCCTGGGAGATCCCACCTCAGGGTACTGTTCAAAAGGATGATTAGAAGCACAAAAGCAGGAGCATGACACTGGGCTCAGTTCCCTTAACAGTGTCAGCACTAGAAACCTCCAACACCTCAATAGCGGCACTCCTGGAAACAGAGTGGCAGTGGGGATTATGAAGGAGACTGAACTGTTCCAATTTACTCAGCCTGATACGCTTTCTTAGGAAAAACTATGGCCCTCTTTAGTGAGTCCATACTGGACGAGGCAGCTCAATTGCAGCCTTGCTCTTTGGATCACATCTAACAGCTAGGGAATTTTCAATCACCAGAAAAGGTTCACCAGATATGAGAAGCCACTCTAACCTACCATGGACCTCTAGGCATAGTGCATTCTGCACACCTCAGATGAAAAGGTCAACAACTTGCTTATCAAGGACCATGAACAAAGAATCTGTGCATTCATGACAGCTCAAGAGCTAACAGTTAGTTTCTACTGCACCACGTGGTAGCAGATGAGTAGAGTCATCCTGACAACCTATGTCAAAGAGAGAACCTGGAAGAGTAGAAAAGGCAGGGCACCACAGTGGGAGAGGAGCCAAGACTAGAAGAAAAACCTGATTCTATAAGCCATTAATTAGACTTCAATAATGATTAACATTTGCTCTAGGTACTCTCCTCAGTACTTAGGATAATCTTTCATTGAAGAACATCTCTCTCTTTAAGTCGCTTAGGGCTTTTCTAAATATTAACAGATATTTATCTCAGTTTCCTGGTCTCATCCTCAGCATTCATAATGAGACAGGAAGCTGCAAGGGATAGGAAGTCACGAGTCTCTCACCCCCAGTGCAGAGATCAATATATGTACACGTATCTAAGTAACTCAAGCCACAAACAAGACCCACCCTAACAAAAAAGGGTTTGCTAGTTTAGGTGACACTGTCCATATAAACTGAGTCAAGCTCATCTAAACTACAAATGTATCAAATAATCAATTCTTCCTCCACTTACCTGTTGCTCAATACCATAAGCTGTTTTACCCCTTTCTGCTACTTAGAATATAGGACTCCAGTTGACCTTATTCACAGACACCATGTTGATTTAAAATCCAAGAGAAAGATGCAGAAGGCCACAGCCTCTGCTTCATTCACTTGGTATAGGAATGTGTGTTTCAGTTTCCAATAAGCCTGATGCATGTTCCGGAGTAAAGGGTGAGTCCCTGAACCCATGTGCCTGAGAAGTTACACATGAGGACAAGGAGCAAAACTGTTCAGCTTCCCAAAAAGTGTAAGTAAAAAATGCAATAGGTGAACTAGTTCTGGACTTCCTGACTTCCTGTTGGATAAAATAGTCTCTGTGCATAAGATACATATTCTTTACATCTAGCTCTCTCTATTTAGTGCCATAAGCATACCATGTACTGTACAAAACAGAGCCTTTGCTCCAACGAGTTACAACACTGTTGTTAGTTAACAGTGACTGACAGTCATCCAAAAGGCTCAAACAGGACTTTAGGAATTCACCTAAGTTCTCAATAATCACCTCACTTGCTAGGTAATGTTAAACAGCTGTTGCATTGCAGTGGCAAGACTACACAACAGTTTAGGAAAGCAAGTGAAAAATTCCGTATTCAGCTGAAGCAATCCCTTGTTGGCTTAGGTATCCAGGAGAAACAGTGAGGATGAAAAAGACAACAGAAGTATGTAATCAACAAAGTAGGTCATTCAACTCAAATTCCCCCAGGACAACAAGAATGCTGCTGGGTGAAGGAGCAAAGGAAGTGCCTCTTTGGTTAGCAGTGTACCCTCTGCAGATAATCTGTAAGGCTAACCCTCAACTAGAAAGATGGTAGCTGCAATGGAATATCTCAAAGTGAGGGAAGTATAAAGCATGGGTGGAACCTCAACAACAAAGGACCCCATTGGGATTTTGCATGTCTGGGAATGCAAGTCTCTGCGTAAAGAGAAATCAGACATAATAAAAGACCACAATTGAGTGCCAAAAACAGATTAGTCTGGATGCCTACACAGAGAAAGAACAGCCACTTTTGTGGAGCACTGGGACAGGAAGGCAATTCACAATGTGAGTCACTACTGAATTCTACTCCCTTTCCTTCAAGCTTTCTGTATGACTGCTGAGCCAACATATCTACAACAGATCTGTCTGTATGCCCAGAAGGTCACTATGCCTGCAGGACAGGTTGGAAAATTCTGCTGAAATTTTCACTAAAGCTTCAAAAAACTGTTATAGATCAATATTTAAAACCAAGAGGGAGCTGCAATAGCCAATGAAAGAAATGATAAAGATTCAACAGCAATTTTACATTACCAAGTGAGACATTTACATAGTCTTTCAGCAGAAGTAACACTATGCAAATTAAGCCTCAAGTTGATGCCCAGGTTCCACTGCCCAGAAAAGGATGCAAGAGACTGGAGAATATAAAAATATCTTCAGTCTCCACCAGTGGAGAGGGGCAGGGTCACTCTGAACTCACATGTCAGCTATGATATGTGCAGCAGTTAAAGGAGCTGCACACCCAGCCTTTAGCTGGGTCATTATTAGGCACAAGCTTATAAGTGACTTCTTGATACCATGCATCCACTTCTGTGCCCTGCTGTTCTGCACTCAGCTGGCAATTCAGTCTCTCCCACTCACCCAGATCAGTGTGCCAGTGATGGAGAAAAAGCAAAAACTTATGGCCCTACACTCATACAGATGGCTTGGCTGGCCCTGGCCTAGAGGTGTGTGGAGACTACAGAGAGAATGTGAGCAGAGAGGCTATACCAGGACTCCAGGGAAGGAGTATGGAAGGGGCTATACACTGACTATAGGGGGAGGGGAGGGGGCTGTGCCAGGACTCCAGGGAAGGGGCTATACCCTGACTATAGGGGATGTGAGGGGAAAAGGCTACGCCAGGACTCCAGGGAAGGGGTATGGGAGGAGCTATACCCTGACTATAGGGGGATGTGAGGGGAAAAGGCTGTGCCAGGACTCCAGGGAAGGGGCTATACCCTGACTATAGGGGGATATGAGGGGAAAAGGCTGTGCCAGGACTCCAGGGAAGGGGCTATACCCTGACTATAGGGGGATGTGAGGGGAAAAGGCTACGCCAGGACTCCAGGGAAGGGGCTATACCCTGACTATAGGGGGAGGGGAGGGGGCTGTGCCAGGACTCCAGGGAAGGGGCTATACCCTGACTATAGGGGGATGTGAGGGAAGAGGTTGTGCCAGAGTCCCAGGAGAGAAGGACTATGCCACGACCCTAGGGGAGGGGGCTGTAGCAGGGACACTGGGGGAGTGAAAAGAGTCTCAGGGGGCAGAGCAGCGGCCCCAGCTCCCCGCTAGCTCCTGTTGCGAGCAGCCGCAGGCAGCACCTGTCCCCGCTGGGCGGGCCTGGCACGCAGCGCGCTTCGCCCCCCGCGGCAGCCCAGCCGGTGATGGAGCCGCGCCCTGCAACGGCCGGGGCCAGCAGAGCCGGGCACCCCCAGTCCGAGGGCGGGGCGCGGGGCCTGGGCAGCGCAGAGACCGGAGCTCACCCCCCACAGCCCCTCACCTGGCGGCCCCTCCATCGCCCGGCCGGGCTCGCTCCCCTCAGTGCGGCGCGCGGCCAAAGCGCCCCCACGCCTCCACCAGGTCTCTAGACCTCGCCCGCACATGTGACGTCAGCCTCTACGGAGTGCGGGGTGGGTCATACCGCACCTGGCCCAGGGGGCCTGCAACGCCCGCCCCAGGGCAAATATCGCACCGCCCCTTCCCTGCCGCGGGCCAATCACAGCCACGCCCACCTCTGGAAGCTCCGCTTCTTTATGGTCACAGGCCAATCCCCGACCTACCCAGTGATAAGAACCCCGCCACTTCCGCACCACAGCCCGCCCCCTTTTCGGGTATGGGCCAATCACAGCTCGGCTCCGCCCACTCCCACCTCCTCCCTAACGCCACACGTGCTAAACCAGCTGGGAAATTTGGGGCGGGACGTGGCTGCATCCTACAGCCGCCGGTCTTGCTGCGTGAGCCAGGGCAGCTGTAAAGGGGAGAAACTAAAGCAGCCCATGGAATCGAGCCCCCGGCTCCAGCCCTACTCCCATTTTAACCTCATTCCCAAGCTGTGCCAGCCCCCCTCCCTACTCCACCTGCTGGAACCACAACTCTCTTACAAAGCAACAGAGGGTCCTGGAGCCCCTTTAAGACTAACAGAAGTATTGGGAGCAAAGCTTTCATGGGTAAGAACCTCACGTCTTCAGATGCATCTGAAGACGTGAGGTTCTTACCCACGAAAGCTTATGCTCCCAATACTTCTGTTAGTCTTAAAGGTGCCACAGGACCCTCTGTTGCTTTTTACAGATTCAGACTAACACGGCTACCCCTCTGATACTTAACTCTCTTACAGTTCTCTAACAGCAGGGGAAAGGCTTGGTGCCGCCCCGATACCCACTGCTGTCCTCCTTCTCCCCCCTTGGTCTAATCCGGGGTGTATGTTCCTTTACACCAGAGGTTCTCAAACTGTGGTCCGTGAGCTCCATTCAGGGGTCCCCGGATAGTTCCCTCTAAGGTGCACACCTGGAAAGGTGCACATGAGACAATGAAGGGTGACCCACCTAATTAGTGGAGCTGTATAGGCGAGGACCCTGGAGAAGATACACATATGTAGTGGCCTCAGGGGGGGGGGGGGAAGAAAGGGCAGGTGGGAGGAGACAGTGGGGTGAGAAGGGGGGGATTTGGGACATGCAAGACTGCAGCAGCCAGAGAAAGAGATGACTTTCCCCAGCTCCAGGGCTGCAGCTGTCGGGGAGAGACGGTCCTCCTTCCCAGCCTCAGCTCTGTGGCAGGGGACAGACCCTCCTCCTTCCCAGCCCCAGCTTGAGGGCTACTGCAGTGGGGGGAGAGAGGGCATAACCATTGCATTAGAAAGATAAGACTACTGATATTAAAATATGAGTTGTGTGCTTTTATTTGTAGAACAAAAAAAGTTAATTATTAAGTTTTTTATATACCGCTTTCATCCAAAGCAATTTACAACAGATAGCTAATCGTACAAACAACATTTTGGTCCACCGAGACCCTCAGCAATTTTCAAGTGGTCCGCGAAAAAAAAAGTTTGAGAACCACTGCTTTACACTGTACAATAGCAGTTTTTACTCCGCTCAACCCCTCCCCAATTCAGGTTTTTACCCTGCGGTTTATTTTATTTTTTGGTCTTCCTCTGAAATCTCAAGACTGTTAGTGGTGGTGAAACTTTTTCAACTATGTAAATGACATTAAAGGATGGGAGAGATTGAGTCCAGGCAGAAGTGCGAAAAGGCCATTCATGAGTCCCCATTCTTGAGCAGATTCACCCCCATATGCAAGATAGCTTCCTGATTTTAAAAAATGTTAATGTCACATTATTTTTTTCTCAAGACATAAGTAGTGAACCAAAGGAATGCCTGCTTTTTTACTTTCTCTGTTGAAAGAGGCATAGTTCAATCTCACAGATGGTCTGTTTAGACTAGAAATAGCTGGCCTATATGCTAATACAGGTAGCACCTTCAGCTCCAAGGAATGTACTCTATGTAAAAGGATCAGTAGGTATAGAGGATATCCCTTTAAGTCTAGTCTCCAGCACCCTCAAAGATGGTTTCATTGCCATTTATCAGAAGACAGCATCAGCTGGTTCCTTCTTTGAGTGAAGAATACATCATAGACATACATCCTACAGAGCAGGTGTACCAACAGCAGCTCTGATACTGCTAACATTTTCCACAATAATATAGATATAAAATATTTTTTCTGCCACTGTGTTCACAGTAATGCCTCCTACAGTGAAATTCCAAATAGCACAAGGCAAGGGCGCTGCACTTCCTTAACAAAAGGAATCCACATAGGCTGAGGTCAATGTAAAACCATTTTTTATTCTAAATCACTTTCACAACAGTGAAAATTAGTGAACAGTAAAGGGTTGCACTGTATGTGCCATCTTTCTCTAACTGCAGGCCATGTGCAGTCTGAATACAAGGGAGGGGAAAATGATACAATACAAAATGCACACTAAGAAAATCAGAAGCATTAACACTTAAACTATCTCATTCTTGGATTGCCAGGAAACTAATGACTCTAAATTCTGTCATTGCAGCCACTTCAGTCTTCACCCCTTCAGCTTCTCAAGAGCAACTGGCAAAATAAGCTTAAAATTTTATATTTTAAAACAAAAAAAAGTTTAAGTCTGGTTTAATACCTCTTTTGTTCATGTCACAGCTGAATTTCTCACTGTCATCTCCAAAGGATAAAAGTTTTGAAGAAATAATCTTCATACCAGATTACTTCCGGAAGAACACGCTCTCTTTCCTAGCATAGCAGTTTCTCAGAATAATGGTAGAAGGAAATAAAATCCCTTTTACATTAGCAGATGAACGTTCCCTTTTCACCAGCAGGTGGAGCTGCCGCTCAATAAAACATCAAGGCACTGAAAAAGCTTCATAATATGGCCAGTTGATGATAAAAATGCACTTAATTTCCAAAATATGCACTACAGAAGCCAGTTAGAAGGGATGAAGCTCCCAAAGTGCCTATACTGTTCAAGCAGCACTTGAATTACCTATACTCAACCAGATCTTGCATCTTGGTATATGATGGATGAGGTAAACTATTGCAGAAGCCAGCTTTGCAAAATCCTGCTTGCTTAGGAGACTTTTGGGGCAGGCAAACAAAACTCCTACCTGCTCCTCCCACACCATCATGCTACAGGTGGATGAACAGTTTGTGTTTAGGCAAGCAAGTTTCATTGCTACTGCTCATGGTTGTCCTGCCCAGGCACTTCATCCTTGTACATGAGAAAAAGCCTAGCTCCTGAAGCAAGTCAGTGAGTTTCTATATATTGATTTGTTTTGTCAAATATCATGATTTATTGTCCAGGAAGTCACAAAATTCCTCTCTACAGAAGGTTAGTCTCTGACTATTAGTGATCTGAGTCAAAGAAACAGTATCTCAAAATAAAGACAGAAGAGAATCCTTTTGAAAGTGTCCAGTTAGAATTAGAAGAAAGTCAAACAGAGGTAAAAAATCCCTCATATTTCAGGTACTGTGGATCCAGAGAATCAATCAGAAACACTTTTTAAAGCTTTATACCTAACAGAATTCCATAAAAGCTTTCAGAGTTGTGGGCACACCTTCTGCAACATCCTCCTCCAGGCAGAAAAATATTTGTAATCTCCTGTCCTTCAAATTATTATCTTTGGTAAACCTGCAGCAGCTCGTGCACTACTGCTATTCCTTATAGGCTGGAAGCAGCTGTGCACTACCATACAGGCAATGGTCTTACACTATTCCCTACAGTGGCACCTGCTAGGCAAGTTTAGATTTCATTTTTTGCCAAAATAAATGTGTTTGAAAAGTTAACCTCACAACTCACTTAATAAATCCCCATTGTGGCCTCTCCCCCCAAACAAGATGATCTCAGATCTGTAAAATGATTTTATTCAGAGTACACAATAGTCCTGGAAGTCTCACAACTTCGGAAGAAGGAGTGAGTGCAGCTACAGCAATAGAGTTATGAAGGTACTATCCATGAGTAAAGCCAAAGACAGCTGCACAAACCCAAGAAAAACAAACACTGCTTTGTCACCGAGGAACGGCACTGCATGTGGCCAGAGAGGTACTCTGCTGTCCAACCACCCTACCCAACCCCATGATGAGAGAATTTTCAAGAGTCTAGCTCCAGAAAAGTCAGATTATTTTACAATTTTAGGCTGAAGTTTCTTAACCCCTCCTGTTACAGCCATTCAAGTGCCATGGATTTTTCACAACTCTGGTGAGTAACAGCAGGTATAGAACACTGGTCTCCAAAGCTGATTCCATTTTCAGGCAGATGCCTTCCCAAAGAAGTCTTATTAGTGCTGCAAGATATTTCCTGGCAAGAACTGGACTTTGATATAAAAAGATTAAAGAATGTTCTGGAACTTCAACTGATGCATTTCTTTCCCATCATGGATGTTACACACGTGATACTGATGAACAAAGCAGTAGGTTCCTTTCCTCCCCTGCCCACACTCCTTCAGTACCAGTGTCTTCCACATAAACCTGGCCTAGCTGATTGGCACAGGATTTCAAAGCAACACTCCCTTTTGAGAGTGAAGCTCAAAGCTAGGTCCATGGTTGTATCTGGATACCAGCGGTATGAGACATGGCTGAGGTAAGACATGCTTTTGAACTGTTATTTAATTCCAAGGTTCTGGTGCAACATGCGAAATTCCTCAATATGCTGTGGCACCACTGATTCCTGGAACCTGTGATTAGCTATGGAACCAGACACCAAAAAGTTTAAAGTGGGATGGGGGAGCAGTTTTTAACTAGTTCAGAGACCCTGATGACCAGGAATATACAGGGTATAGAGCAGTTATGCAATCAACAGCCAGAACATGATCACCAGAGCCACAAACAGGAAGAGACGAGATAGGAACTGCTCATCCACATACTGGGGAGTCCCTGGAACAGCTGAAAAACAGGAAGTAAAACAGTTCAGTACTTTCCTCTTCTTCAAGATGTAGTATATACTGCACATAGCATATTCACAAGTCTAGAGAGATTAGCAAGGAATCCACCAGCTGACAGACTGCTACTGGCAAAATTTCTCTGTTACAGGAATGATTCAGACTGCCTCACTCACACTGGGAATTAAGAAGAA